GAACGGGAGATTCTCCTTATGAATTTACAGCAACTGTGTGATGCTATCATGTCAACATCGATCAAAACCTGAGAGGGATGTTTCCAGCACCTTGTCAAATCTGCCATGACGAATTACAGCAGCTCAGAAACAGAAGCAGGTCCAAACCAGAACTAGTGAGGGACCTATAAAGTGATTGAAGATGTCCTTAAAAGGTTTAAACAGACAAATGTAATAAATAACAACAATACTTCAAGCCCAAAGGACGTTTCTTCTTTCACAGGGACTCTTAAAGACACTCAGAGCACGACAGAGACGCTCCTCTCGGCTGCTGTACGCTCGTTATCGTGACACTGTCTTTGCTTTGGCCTATTATACTTTGCTTCCTGTAAAGAGGATAATCTGTGATTGAGACAGCTTGATTACAAGATAATGAAGGGGGTCTAGAACTGATTTTGGAGAGCTGAGGCCCTGAGGCTTTGACTCGTTTGTCTTCTGATGTATAATTTCAGCTTATTTGCAGCTGCTTTTGTACCTCACACTGAATGCGGGTGCCAGTCAATGACAAAAATAACCACACATGCTAATTTTCTGATTTTCAAATGCTGGATTTCGGTTATTTTTTTTATTTTTTTTTTTTTTTACAAAAAACAAGTGTCAAAGAAACAAGAATTTCAAAAGACGACGAATATGTTGAAAACGACAAAAATCCTAAAATAATTTCTCTGTTTATGACACAGCTTGTTAATAAACATCTGTCGATGTTGCTTTGATGGTGAGAGACGCAGCTATCGTGATTTCTCTTCTCTCTTCAGTCTCTTAACTGAAAAACCGAGTTGATTTGGTTTTCCCTGGAAAAATCAAAATAAAGGGTCTAATGTGTCTGTCCAGCAGAGGGAGGGCTGCTCTGGGTGTTTACTCCGAGGTTAAACACTTGACCTGAAAAAGCAGCTCAGATGGTCTTTGTGCAGGTCTGAGTTTCTTCGTTTATTAACTTTATTAATTTGCACCAGATTTGAAGGCTTTAATCCTCACACGAGTCTCAGTGTGTTTGGTTACTTTATCACCTAAATTCAGAGCGCATAAAGACTGTTCATGCTGTCAGTTGCCTCTTCAGTGAAGTCATGAATCCATCCGGGTGCCAATCTCAACACAAGTCCATTACCGTGCGCCTCGGTCTCGGTCCACCTTTAATAATTGCAGCACGTTTATTTCTGCAGCTGCTTTAAATGAAAGGCGTGCAGGCCAGTCATGCCCACCACTTCAGATGATTTATAGGCGTACCCATGTGTGTGTGTGAGATAGGCCAACCTATGTGTTTAGTCTGCTGCAAACTAATGTTCCTGCTTCTTCAGTAGTGTCTGCACCACCATCATTTAACTCCATTGTACCAGACACTCTTCGGTTAAACATCTCTGAGGAACAAAGTGCACGAGTCTCTTTCAATATTGCCGCTGACCCAGGATCACCTCGTTTCAGCTGTCCTGC